AAGATATATATATATATATATACTAATGCATCTGTTCATATATTTGTATATGTAAATTATTAATATATAAATAAATATATATATATATATATATTGATGTACATATATATATAGCAATATATATATATATTTATTATTTATCTACTTATTTATATTAAATATAAATAACCACAGTATAATGCGGGGCTCCGACATCGATAGAACTGAATTTAATTCATAGACAAAAGAGAGAAGAAATTAAATTAAATTAAATTTAAATTAAATTAAATTAAATTAAATTAAATTAAATTAATTCATCCCCAATTATAATTCGTTAAGATAGAATAAAATAATTTTTTATTTTGCGGCTTCGATTGCTGAGCTGTACATACACCCAAAGATACAACGAGAAAACAAACAGTAAAAAATATAAAAAAATAAATATTTAAAGATAAATATCATAAAATTAAATTATTTTATTGAGAAAAATCAACTTAGGGTCTACGGTTTAGGGTTTAGGGTTTAGGGTTTAGGGTTTAGGGTTTAGGGTTTAGGGTTTAGGGTTTAGAGGGAGGGGGGCCCCTAAGGGTATCGGCGGCTGTAAGAAAAAGTTTTAGAAAGATGCATTTTATTTGTTTTTAATTTTAATTGTTTTGAATTTATTTCTTTATTTTATTTTACTTTTCACACCTCAAACCCTAAACCCTAAACCCTAAACCCTAAACACTAAACCCTAACAGAAGGCATTCCCTGTCAGCCCTACTTCCTTCCCTAAACCCTTCAGTGAAGAAAATATATGCACTTTAATTCTAAACCCTAAATCCTAAACCCCAAACCTTAAAGCCCTAAACCCTAAACCCTAGACCCTAAACCCTAAGCCCTAGCCTTAATGTCTTCGTTCGTGTTGAGAGCAGACCCCTAAGTTAACAGGCTTTGCTACATGAAACATCCTGCTGCTGCAGCAGCAGCTGCTGCTGCTGCTTCTGCTGCTGCTCAGCTGCCCTTTATCACTTCAGCAGCAGCAGCAGCAGCAGCCGGCACTTGGCGCTGCTGCTGCCGACCCTACAGCGCGCTCGCAGCAGCCGCTGCTCCTGCTGCTGCAGCACCTGCTGCTCGCCCGCAGCAGCCGCTGCTCCTGCTGCTGCAGCACCTGCTGCTGCAGCGGGAGCAGCAGCCAGCGCAGCAGCAGCACCAGCAGCTGCGCAGTTGCAGGTCTCCCGTCTAAAGAGCGTCTCAACTAGGCTCCTGCAGCAGCAGCAACAGCAGCAGCAGCAGCAGCAGCCGAAGGGTCGTTCAGCAGCAGGCATATCCAAGACTGAACAGAGCAGCAGCAGCAGCAACAACAACAACAGAAGCCGCCGCAGCAGCAGCCTCAGCAGCAGCAGCACCAACACCAGCAGCAGCAGCAGCAGCAGCAGCAAACCAAGTGCTGCAGCAACATCTCTTAATGCCTTGCTGCTCAATATACACTCAATCCCAGAAGCAGCACCAAGCCACCTCTGTGCAGCAGCAAAAGCAGCAGCAGCACAACCTCGGCTTGACGATGTAAGCACTGGGTTTAGGGATTAGGGTTTAGGGTTTAGGGTTTAGGGTTTAGGGTTTAGGGTTTAGGGTTTCAGTGCTGCACCGCCTGTTTCTGTGTCAGTTGTTTGCTGCATTTGCTACTGCTGCTGCTGCTGCTTCTGCTGCTGCTGCAGTGCGCCGCACAGCAGCATCAGCAGCAATAGGAGCAGTAGCGGTAAGAGCAGCAGCAGCAGTAGGGGTAGTAAGAGCAGCAGTAGCAGTAGCAGCAGCAGCAGCAGCAGCAGCAGCAGTAGCACCAGTAAAAGCAGCAGTAGAAGCGCCAGAAGCAGCAGCAGCAGCAGCAGTGTGAAGCACCAGCACCAGCACCAGCACCAGCAGCAGTGTGAAGCAGCAGCAGCAGCAGGACCAGCAGCAGCAGCAGCAGCAGCAGCAGCAGGTTTATTGTTGTTGCTGCTGCTTATTGCAGGTTTTTTGGATCGCCATTTGTAGACGCGCAGTAACAGCGGGGAGGCAGCTGAGGCTGCGAGATGCTGCAGTGCTGCTGTCTGCTGCTGCTGCAGCACAACGCCTCCTGCAGCAGCAGCAGCAGCAGCAGCAGCAGCAGCCGCAGCAGGTGATAGCGAAGCAACAACTGCTGCAACAACACAATCTTATGGTGGATACTGCAGCAACAGCATTGCTGAGGGGCCTGCTGCGGCTCCAGCAGCAGCAGCAGCAGCAACACCAACAGCAGCAACAACAGCAGAAGCAGCAGCGGCCACAGCAGCAACAGCACCTAGAACAGCAGCAGCAGCAGCTGCTGCTGCAAAGTAGACTAACTCCGTCGCTGCTGTCTTCTGCTTTGCGTGCATTTGCTGCCTTGAGGCTGCAGCACCCGTTGCTGCTGCAGCAGCTAACTGCTGCTGCGGTGTCTCTGCAGCTTCACACCTTTTCTGGCTACGATATTAATGCCTTCTGCTCCGCCTTCCTAGCAGCAACGCAGCAGCAGCACCAGCAGCACCAGGTGCAGCAGCAGCAGCAGCAGCAGCAACTCCAGCAGCAGCAGCATGCTGCACTAGCTGCACAGCTGGAAGCCATCTTGCTGCAGCAGCTGCCGCCTGCAATTGCAGCAACCCACCGAAAAAATGAAGCCTTGCTGCAGCAGCTCCAGCATGACCTGCAGCAACTGCAGCAGCAGCAGCAGCAGCAGCAGCAGCCGGGGCTGACGGAGGTGGCTGCCGCGCAGCAGATTGCATGCAGCCTGCAGCAGCTGCTGCTACAGTCCCCCCACAAGTTTGCAGCAGCTTGGCAGCAGCAGCAACAGCAGCAGCAGCAGAGGCAGGAGACAAACATAAGTTTGTTGCTGCGGCTCTGTGTAGAGCTGCGTATACACCGCAGCCTCCCGCTGCTGCTGCATGCAGCAGCGCTGCAGCTTGAGCAGACGCGGCTGCTGCTGTGTCTTCTGGGGTTGCAAAGAATGAAGGGGAGAAGCCCCTCAGCTTCAGCACTTGCTGCTGCTGCTGCTGCTGCTGCTGCTGCAGACGCTGCGCCTATGGCAGCAGATGCTAGCTATGCTGCTGCTGCTGCTGCTGCAGGCGCTGCAGATGCTGCAAATGCAGCGCCGGATGCAGCAGCTGCAGGAGCAAAGGTTGCTGCTGCAGCAGGTGGTGGCGGTGCTGCTGGTGCTGCTGATACTGCAGGAGCAGCAACAGCAGCAGCAGCAGCAGCAGCAGCAGCAGAGCACCCGTTTGTTTTTGTGCAGTGTCTCGCCACCTGTAGGGACCTCGCAGGCCTATCTGCAGCCTTGCTGCTGCTTGAGCAGCAGCAACTCGAGTCTGTGAACTCCCAGCTGCTGCTGTTGCAGCAGCAACTGCAGCAGCAACAGCAGCAACAGCAGCAACAGCAGCAGCAGCAGCAGCAGTTGGTCGATATGCCTACATTGGTTGTTTCTACTTTGCTGCACAAGACGGCGTCTCACGGGTTATTTGCTGCTGCAGTTCCTGCCTGTCTCCAACCGAGAGCAGCAGCAGCAGCAACAACAATAACAGCAGCAGCAGCAGCAGAACCTGCAGCAGTGGCAGCAACAAACACAACACAGGCAGTCGCAGCAGCAGCAGCAGATGCAGCCGCCGCCGCTGCTGCAGCAAATGCAGCACAAACAAACAAAGTGCTGCTGCCTCTAGAGCGCTTGCTGCTCCTTGCTGCTGATCACGCGGCCCTGCTGCTGGCTGTCAGCAGCAGCAGCAGCAGCAGCAGCAGAGACAGCTACCACGAGTTTGTGTCGGCTGCTCAGATCGCCAGCAGCAGCAGCAAACTCTGCCGCAGCAGGCTTACAACCGGAACAGAAGCAGCAGCAGCAGCAGCAGCAGCAGCAGCAGCAGTGGGGCAGCGGCTCTTCCCTCTTGCTGCTCTGCTGCAGCTAGAGCTGCAGCAGCAAGGAAGCAGCTTGACAGTAGATCAGCTTTCAATGTGCTGCCGCTTCTTTACCCAAATTGCAGCAGATGCAGCAGATGCAGCAGCAGCAAATGCTGCTGCTGCTGCTGCTGCAGATGGAGCAGCAGCAGCCGAAACAGCACTATCAGCAGCAGCAGCAGCGGTAACAACAATGGGCTCACGTGCTGCAGCCGAAACAGCAGCAGCAGCAGCAGCAACACCAGCAGCAGCAGCAACACCAGCAGCAGCAGCAGCTGCAGCAGCAGCTGCTAATGTTGCTTCCAGCATGTCTTCAGTTTTGTGCTGCTTCATTTGTTTATTTGCTGCTCCCTTTGCTGCTGCAGCCTCACGGCTGCTGCCGACAATGAACATCTCTCACGTTCTCGCCTGTCTCCACGCAGCAGCAAAGCAGCAAAAGCTGCTGCTGCTGCTGCAGCAACAGCAGCAGCAGCAGCAGCACGGGAGGGTGTTGGGGGTGCTGCTGCATCGCTACTCCCTGCAGCAGCTGCAGCAAAGCGAACAGCAAACCATCAGGCGACTCAGTCAGCTGCTGCTGCAGCACGAAGCACTTTTGCTGCACCCACAGCAGCAGCAGCAGCTGCAGCAGCAGCAGCAGCAGCAGCAGCAGCAGCTGATGGAAGCAAGCTCAGTGCCTCAGTACGATTTGCTGCCGCGCATGCAAGGCAGTCTTATAGCAGCAGCTGCTGCACTGGAGCAAACGAAGTCCCCTGCTGCTGCTTCTGCTGCTGCTGTTGCTGCTGTTGCTCGATTGCTGCTGCTGCAGAGAGATCAGCCGCAGCAGCAGCAGCCTTCTGCTGCTGCTGCGCTGTCGCTGCAGCAATGCACCCTTCTCCTAAGAGCCCTTGCCAAGTGTGTGAACTGCGTAGACACCCCAAATAGCTGCTGCTGCTGCTGCTGCACCTGATGCTGCTGCTGCTGTTGCTGCTGCTGCTGCTGCTGTTCCTGTAGCTGCTGAGTGTGCTTCTGCTGCTGCTGCTGCTGCTGCTGTAGGTTTCAGCTACGAGATGCAGATATGCTGGCTCGGCTCTGCAGCAGATTGAAGACGTTACTCCAGCAGCAGCTGCAGCAGCTGCAGCAGCAACAGCAACAAGAAAAGCAAGAGCAGCAGCCCAATGAACAACAAGAGCTGCAGCAGCACCACCATCAGCAGCAACAGCAGCAGCAGCAGCAGCAGCAGGATGCGTCTGTTTTGCTTACAGGGCAGCAGCTCTCTCAATTGCTGCTAAGCTTAGCGCAGCTGTCTTTCTTTCCTATTCATCTGCAGCAAGCTTCAGGTGTACATACACCTGAACAAGAAGCAGCAGTATGTGGGCTGTTTGAGGTGCTGCTGCTGCTGCTGCAGCAGCAGCAGCAGCAGCTCTTGCTGCAACGAAGCATGGGGCTTCAGAGCGCGGCAAACTGTTTGCATGCGCTGTCTCTATCGGATTTCTCTATGGCGGCTTCACGCAGCAAAGAGGCAGCAGACTGCAGCAGCAGCAGCAGCAACAGCAGCAACAGCAGCAACAGCAGCAACAGCAACAGCAATCGAACAAACCATTGCTGTACTGCTGCTGATGGTGGTGCTGCTGCTCTCGTCGATCTGCTGCTCACTGTAACAAGAAAGCATCTGCTGCTCTTGCAGCAGCAGCAGCAGCAGCAGCAGCAGAACCAGCAGCAGCCGTGCAGCAGCAGCAGCTTAGCTAAGGTCCTGGAGCTGCTGCCAGCAACGCAGCAGCAGCTGACAGCAGCAGCAGCAGCAGCAGCAGCACATCGTCATGCTTCGCTCTGCGCCGCCCTTCAGCCAGAGAACATTAAATTTTTAAATGAAGTGCAGCAGCAAACTTGCAGCATAATATGCGCAGCAGCCCCGGTAGGCAGCAGCAGCAGCAGCAGCAGTAGCAACAGCGACGTCAGCAGCGGCGAAAGCAACAGCTTCTGCAGCAACAGCAGCAGCAGCAGCAACAGCAACAGCTTGAGAAAGAGAGAGGGCAGCAGTCTGCAAAGCGCTGAGGTGTCTGTACACCTCGCTGCATCGGGTAAGACAGAATTTTCATTTGTTAATTTAATTTAATTTAATTTAATTTAATTTAATTTAATTTAATTTAATTTAATTTAATTTAATTAGGTTTATTCTTATTTATTGCGGTGTATGTACACTGCAGCGCTGCAGCGCAGCATCTGCACTGCCCTCTCGCGGCTCTTCCCTGAAGCAGATCTGCTCGCTGAGGTAACTGCAGCAGCAGCAGCAGCAGCAACAGCAGCAGCAGCAGCAGCAGCAACAGCAGCAGCAGCAATATCAACAGTAGTAGTAGCAGCAACAGCAACTGCAGTGGTATGAGCGGCAGCAGTTACACATGCAGCAGCAGCAGCAGCAGTAGCAACAACAACAACAGCAGCAGCAGCAGTAGCAACAACAACAACAACAACAGCAGCAGCAGCAGCAGCAGCAACAGCAGCAGCAGCAACAGCAGCAGCATTTTGCTGTTTTGTGTTTGTTTTTTGCTGCAGGTCCCACTGACGTTTGGTGGATATTACATAGACGCACTCCTTCAACTCAGGGGCAGAACAGTAAACCCTAAACCCTAAACCCTAAACCCTAAACCCTAAACCCTAGGCCATACTCCACCATAAACCCTAAACCCCCTAAACCCTAAACGCTAAGACGCGACTTTTCTGAATTTGGTGTTGCTCTCTCATCTATCTTTCGGTGGCAGCATGCTCTAGGGTTTAGGGTTTAGGGTTTAGGGTTTAGGGTTTAGAAGAAGGGTTTGTTGTGCGCTGCAGCAGATTGCAATTGAGGCGGACGGAGGCCTTCACTTTTATTCCAGCTGCAGCACTCCCCAGCCGCAAATACTTCAGCTGCAGCAGCAACAGCAGCAGCAGCAGCAACAGCAGCAGCAGCAGCAGCAGCAGCAGCAGCAGTAGAAGATTGAATGAGACAGATAAATAGGGATAATAAAGTTGCGACGATATCGCAGCAGCAAACGCTGCAGCAGAAGCAGCAGCAGCAGCAACAGCAGCAGCAGCAGCAGCAGCAGCAGCACCAAGAAGAGACATCTTAATTGCAGAGATATTAGAAAAGCAAACACAGACTACAAGTAGAAAACAGCAAATACACAGGAAAAAAGCAGAAAATAACAGATAAGCTGCATATACACCTGAAATAGATGAAGATAGAGCTTAATAGATCTGCATATACACCTGAACTAATATAATTAAAAAGAGTTGAGGTGTTTTGCTGCTTTAATGTGCGTCTTCAGGAAAACAACAGAGATTTGCTGCTTTTAAACAAAATACAAAACGCAAGATAATCTATTTCAGGTGTATATGCAGCTATTTGAGGTGTATATGCAGCTATTTGAGGTGTATATGCATCTATTTCAGGTGTATATGCAGCTAGTTCAGGTGTATATGCATCTATTTCAGGTGTATATGCAGCTAGTTCAGGTGTATATGCACCTAACCAAGTATAACTTTATCTATTTCAGGTGTATCTTCACCTATTTCAGATGTATTTGCATGCATTTCAGGTATATGCGAGCTAACTACACATACCTGCAGCTAGCTACAGATATTTATTTGCAGCTAGCTACAGCTATTTATTTGCAGCTAGCTACAGATATTTCAAACCAGTTAAAGCTCCCCCCCTGACGACGCTGTTTCCAACTAGCTGTAGCTAGCTAGCTACAGCTAGCAGTGGCTAACTAGTAGTAGCTAGCTAGCTGTAGCTAGCTAGCTGTAGCTAGCTAGCTGTAGATAGCTGTACGTAGCTGTAGCCTGTCTTATGCAGCTGAAATCAGCTGCAGCCTGTTGCATCTACCTGTAGCTAAATGTAGCTCGTTGTATGTAGCTAGCTGTAGCTATATATATATATATATATATATATATATATACATATATATATACATGCATATATATATACTGTTTCTATTTACTGTTTGCTGTTTTATTTGTTTCTGTCTTTTGTTTATTTGTTATTTTTATTTTTAAGATACTTCAGGTGTACATACACCTCCAAAATTTCGGCGAGTCTGCTGCTGCTGCCACCCCAAAATGAACGCAGCAGCAACAGCAGCAGCTGCTGCAACTGCTGCTGCTGCTGTTGCTGTTCCCCCTCATCCCTATGCACAAAGCAGCAGTAGCTGCTGCTGCTGCTGCAACAGCAGCAACAGGAGCTGCCTGTGTTGCTGCTGCAGTAGCAGCAAGCGCAGGAGCTGGTGCAGCAGCAGTATCTCCAGCAGCAATAGCAGCAGCAGGAGCTGCGAACTGCTGCTGCTGCTGCAGCTGAAGGAGCAGCAGGAGGATCTCCTGCTGCTGCTACTGCTACTGCAGCAGCACAAGCTGCAGCTGCAGCAGCAGCAGCAGCAGCAGGTGCAGCAGGAGGACTATGACAGGTCTACTTCTCCGTCTACCCCAACAGTTGGTTTGTGTGTTGCTGCTGCTGCTGCTGCTGCTGCTGCTGCTCTCTGTTCATCAGTAGAAGCAACAGCATTTTTTATATGAAGCAGCATATGCACTCTCCAGGGCGAAAGTTTATTAATATTATCATATGCAGCAACAGCAGCAGCAAAAGCATCTGTATCTCTTTCTTCTGCTGCTGCTAGCAGCTGCTCTATTAGCTGCTGCTCTCTGCTGCATGCAAAGTGTGCATTAGCTTCTTTATATCGAGACAGCAGCAAATAAATGTCGCTAAGAGCACCCCCTGCTTCTTCTCGAGGAGCAGCAAGCTGCAGCAGCAAAGAGTTAAAGAATAAGTCCCTCGCACCGTACTGCAGCAGATTATTCCTGCTAGCTTTATATGCTTCATCTTCATATATCTTTGCTGCTCTTTGGAGTGTACGTGCAGCTTCTTCTGCTGCTGCTGCTGCTGCTTCTCCTCCTCCTGCTCCTGCTGCTGCTGCTGCTGCTGCTGCTGCAGGAGCAGCAGCAGCAGCAGAAGCAGCACACCAAGAAGATAATTCAGCGTATTTACAGATGCAATGTGAATACTGTGTACGACTATATTGATCTGTCTCAAAGAGTTGTGCTGCTTTTAAATATTCTGCTGCTGCTGTTACTCTGTCTGCTGCTGCTTCATGCTCCTCTGCTAGCTGCCTATACACCTGAGCTGCAGCAGCCACTCTACCTATTTCAATTAATATTTTTATGCCTTTCTCGTATATTACAACAGAGTCGTCTAAAGATATTCGTCGCATGCAATGCCCTGCCTCAATGTATGAGGATGACTCTGCACATAAACAAATAAATAAATAAATAAATAAATATAAATATATAAATATAAATAAATATAAATAAATATAAATATATATATATATATATACATATAAATATATGAATGTAAATAAACGTATATGTAAATATCAATGTATGAGGATGACTCTGCAAAT